TTTTATTGTCTGAAATTGCCAGGTAATTTTTCAATCGGTCGATGCCTTGCCTCTGTTATTGATGACTGAGCAGATCGGCAGCCGTTTAGCGTACGCACGCACCGGTTCCTCGCTCCTTTACGAGCGAATTTAGAGCGAACTCAGCTGGTGAGACATAGGTCAACAAGCTGACGAGCTGGCGAAGTTTACCTTCCGGGAGCCGTCTAACTCTCGGTCTCGGGAGTGGACGGTCCGACACTGGCTGAGTCCCGTGGAGCCTGTTTGACACAGGCTGAGAACCCGTGTCAAACTTGCAGCCCATCTATTGCCGGCTGCCCGCCGCGGAGACCACAGTTCGCCACCAAACCTGCTCCAACGCCGCCAAGTTGGTCAGGAAAGTACCTCTGAGTGGCGCCCGAACAGCCCATTCAGCGACACATGTCTCCTTGTTGGACAGTTAGCTGGGCTGTATCGGCTCTCCTTCACAGACTCTAACACTGTATCAGCCGAGTGGACCGAAGTGATGTCCAAGTTTCCGGGCTCAGGTGGCTCCCAGAGGTGATAACGTCAGGGCTGACGACGGCACGAACTCCAACTTCATTCGCTCCCAAAGAGCCGGCGCAGGCGGCGGTGAAGTATCTCATTCTCGTTAATGAGGAGCTAGATCGCTACACTTCATCCGCTAGAACACGAGCTAAGGCTCAGGTGCCGAGAATGGGATTTTATGCTGAAAAGTGAAAGCATATACCTAAGGCTTAAAAATGAACGAAGATTAAACCTGGTTTAAGTTCTGAATCGCGAGTTTTGAATCGCGAGGTCTTATTTTTCTGCGATGTGAATGAATTTCAGCCAATCCGCTCACCTATCGCATTCCGTTGGCCGGCACTTCCGGCCGGCAAGTGGCACGTGCCTTTGCACCTGCCGTCCAATAACGTGAGCCCTCATCGGCAGGGATCCTTGGTGGGGAAGGTGGCACGTGCACGATAACAGCCACAATAAACGGGCACGTGGTATCCGGTCCGGACTCATGGGCGTCATAAACTTAATTGTTGCGGCACCCTATAGGCCTTACCCTAATTTAATCACTCTCCGAGATTTGGGAACAAGACAACCAAGGATCCCCTCAAGCACCTCAAGACATCCCAAAATTCAACTTTTAATTTCACTTTGTTTGCAGCCATTTTAATTTCTTAATGACCACCATACAAATGCGCATACCCCTAAGCCATTCTCATGGATGCACACACCTCACTCTGTCCTGACATTATATGCCACCATCCATCCTATGGGCCGGGAATTAGCCGGGGTCACGTCAGCCGGCGTACCAGTCACACAGCTGTCCCGGCGCGCTCCGTCCGTCGGCGGGCGCTGCCCCGGCGCGGTGCGTGTCGGCGGAGCTGGCAGTGGCTCGATCAATGTCTGTCCCAGCCCGCGGCGGAGCGAGGGGAGTGCAGGGAACACGGAGCCACCAGCCGGCTGGTCTGATTACAGCACAGACGGCGAGCGACGCCCGCTGGGGCTGGCGACAACGAACGAGCCATGGCTGAGGCGACGGAAGGGGAAAAATGGTGGTGGCAGGGCGAGGCGAATAGGAGGCTGCTTAGACAGTGTCGCCACCCGTCAGTTTTGCCAGTCATGCACGGATTCGGCTCGCTGAGTGAGATGAGTACAGATGGTGCAAATTATTTCGCCTGCATGCGAAATGCATGACGTCTGCCAACATATCATTCCTGCTGAGTCTAACTCCGGCTGGTTATCGGCTAAATTATGATAATTATTTTGTCACGTATGCGGCGCACCTGATTTACAAATAGTTAAGCAGTTCAAACAGGACGTCTGGATACCAAGGATTCCTCTGCTTTGTTCCATAAATGTAACTGATCACGGCCACCGCTGACAATTCGTCCCGGTATCGCAGACGCGCCTCGCGCGCCGCATCACGCTCATGAATTTATCTGGTACTACTATAGGAATGTCAAAGGGTTACTGGTTTCATCAGGGTGTCTAATTGGAGCATTGCGTTAGTCGAGCTACGTCATCGGTTTCGGTATAATGAGCAATATCTTATGAGCTTTACCTAAGCTCAAAGATGGCAAACGCCGTCACTGACACAGCATATAGCGACGTATCATCGACTTTTGAGCTGCGGTTCCGGGTTCGGCTGTCGATGCTCGCCCACCGCGCCGACGCGGCGGTGGGGCCCGTTTTTGCTCGTCGAGTTCAATCGGTATGCCGACCGGAGCCGCGCTGTCTGGGCGGCTGGACGGGAGGAGAGACGGGGCTGGCTGAGAGGGAGAGGAGTTCTGAGTGACGTCGGGCGGGTGCCACAGCTGCCGCGCCGGTCAGGGGTGCAATGGACCGGATCTCCGCCGCTGAAACGATCGGCCCTGCGCCCTTCACCCCGAGGTGTCACCGACAGACACTGGACAATGATGGATGTGACCTGTCGGACGGTTCGGTAGGGAGATAGATATTTGATCGGCCACTGGACGGTTCACTTGGAATGTCATGGCGCGCGATAGGTAACAGCGAAGCGACACTTCCCATGGAGAGGGAGGATAGCAAACGGCATAGGTATGATTTTCCACGCGAAATGACATATTTTATGCGAAAAAAACCGAATGTTTTTTCTTCTTTCGGGTCTTTTAGTCTCTGGGGCATTTACGTATACTTTTTCGGTCGTTTGCTGTCTCTGAAGGTACCTATTCCGTCAAATAACTGTTGCATTTCATCCCCCGTTTATTATGCCACAATATTTTCCCCAGCTACTTCCGAGTTTCTCCTGCGTATCCGCTGGCTTCCGGTCCGGTTACGTTGCTTCCGGTCACGAAGACGGTCTGTGACAGTCTCGGCCGTCTGTCAGCCGGGGAAAGGCGCCCGTGCCGGACCCTGCCCGGCACCCCTGTCGGCTACCCGGCGCGCTGGCACGCTCCCCCGGCCCGGGAAGCCGCCGGACACGCTCTGTATCCGCCCGATTGAGTGCGACGCCCCGCCGCCGACGGTCGAGCCGATTGTCTTCATTAGTGGGATCTTCTCCGGGTGGTGGAGCCCGTGGCACGCTGCCAGAACGGGCTGGAACTGCAGGAGGAGACTGGCTCCGTCACGATCCTGCCGACCGTCGGCAACTGTTTGAGTCGGTCTCTGTCCCCCGGGCCGGGTCATCTGATAAAGAGTGATGGAGTGGCTTGGCAGGACCCTGTTTCCGCCGCCGCTCGTCAGCTGTTGCGTCGCTCTCGTCGGGCTCGTCTCATTTGTCGCGCCGCTGTTTGCCGCGAGCTGCGCGAAATGAGGCGTCGCGGAAATCTGAGGCGGCGTTTAGCACCCGGCGGCGAGGGGAGGAGCGCGGGGCAGGGATGGGACGCAGGTGGTCCTTCTCCCCGCCACCTCCCCACCAGCGGCGGCGGCCGGCGCGGCGGCCGGTATCGGCTCGTAAACTCCCCCAGCCGGCGCGGCGCGGTGGTCCGCGCGGTGTCTCAGTCCCGGACCGCAAGGGCGGCGCCACCGTGGGGGCAGTGGGGGCAGACTGCCCCCACTGGCAGGAGGCCGTGGGGGCAAGACTATGTTTTTACCCCCACAAAATTTGGCTGATTTTGAAATGGGAACAGAAGACCGGTGCAATATTCATGATAGGCGGTTATAATAGTACGCCTGTTTTTGACGATTCCCGTATCAAGTGCATCAGCAGAACGTTCGTTCTCAGACCGTCTGTCGCATATCTCCTACTCCCACTCATTTTCCTACTCATTTTCATTCACCAGAAGGCTGCCCTCGAGCTTGACCTCGAGGAGGTTGAGAGGCAGCTTGTCAAAATCGGCCAGAGAAGAGTTCACCCTCTTTTGGGAACCCTTAGACTGAGACTGAGCTCAGGGAGGTATGACAAAATGTGATAGGTAGGTATGTATGTCCGGGTTATCTGGAAATGTATATGGATCGCCCTAATAGAGCTTATTCTGGTATCAATAGTGTGTGAGAGAAACGCATATATTCGCACTACGGTAAAAAAGAGAACTAGGTACTGATTACTGATTACTGTCTACTCCTAAGCGTTCATATGGTATCACAAATATTCGCCAGGGGAGGCGAAAAACGACCCCCCCCCCCGTTCCGGGCCCGGGAGGGTTAATGCTTAAGCTCAATACGCATGCATGAAACCTGAAACCATGATAATTTCTAATTGGCAGCATCTATAGGGGCGAGGAGCTCATGGATTTTGCAGATCGGGTTATCAGACAACAGTCGGGTCACCTGAAGCTTGCCCCCACTGGCGAAAATTCGTGGCGCCGCCACTGCCGGACCGTCGTCCCCTTCCCTCCCCGGTCGGCCGGTCCATCCCCCAGCCGCGCGGTGTCGCGCGCCCCGCACGGCGCCGCGGGAAAACAAGCCCTCTCCGTGTGTCTGTGCCGACGCGGCGTGCCTGGCGACTAGTTGCGCCGATGTCTTCACTGATATGATAACCATCCGCCGTCCAGGCGACGCCGGTTCGTTCCCGATGGTCCCGCCGTGCCGCCCGGTGGGTCTGACCGAGATCTTTGTCACTGAACACCTCTGACCAGTCCCCCTGGCACACCAGACTTCTCACGTCTTTTGGCACCCTACCGCGACCACGCAGCGTTCTAGATATGCGGCATGCAAAATTTGACAAATGAGGTGAAGCGATAAAAACCGTCTGGCTAGGCTCAGTTTCGCTGCCGTTGATGTGTCTTCTCAGCCGGCCGCCTAGCTTTGCAATGTGCCCTCATTTCACATCCGCACATTAGTTATTTAAAAGTTACATGTTGCGCGAAAAGGCTTGTAAAAGTACAGCCATGCTAGGTCAAACAGGGCAAGTAATGAAAAACGAGCTTTTTACTTAATGGAAAATCTTGCAACAGCATGGCGGTTCAGAAATATTTGTGTGCAAGATATCACAAACAGCTTTTTCTTCGTCACCGAATACAATGTTCCTTTATTCGGTGCTGATTAGTGATTTAAGTCACTGGGTTTATTTAACCTCCTCAATAAAACTGTGTTTCCTGTTTCAGGAGAGCCCGGTCGGCCGCCGCACATCACGGAGCACCCGACAGACGAGATGGTGGCCCGCGGTCAGCCGGTCACCCTCAACTGCAAGGCCGAGGGCCGTCCTCCCCCGCAGGTGCACTGGTTTAAAGACGGACAACAACTGGCAGAGGTCGCTGGGCGGTTCTTCCTCCATGGCAGCTCCCTCTACTTCATGGAGGTGGTGCAGAACAGGAAGGAGGACGACGCGGGCACCTACTGGTGCGAGGCCACTAACGCGCACGGGTCAGCGCGATCGAGGAACGCCACACTCGATATTGCAGGTTAGTTGGGCGAGGTGCTAACGGTGGTTGTGTACGACCGTGATTCATAGGCGTAGGAACTGGGGGGGGGGGCATGTCCCCCCACTATTCAGCCATTTTTAAAGTAAAATCTTTATTTTTGATTTAAATACAAAACCACGAGCAGGAAATGGTTCAGCAAGGTGAGATGTGCACAAAACTGCAAATAATTTCTATATAGGGGTATTGGGGCTCCCACAGAGTCACATTGAAGCTTCGCTGCTCCCCCCTCCTCCCACTTTTCGTGAGTTTCCTACGCCCATTCCGTGGTTCGACAGCGCGATTCGACCGTGATTCCTCTTTGGAACTTTTTTGTGCAACCACCCGTATAACAACGTACGCGACCCTTTCTCTCCTCGTCGCCCGTCCATTTCTCGGGAGAGACCACCCGATCGAGGTCGCCCGAAATCCTCGCCTCATAAGTATACACCAGCGAGCTATCCGAGTTCCGTGACGCCTCCGCGACGTCAGCCGGCCGCGGGGGGCCGTTCATTGCACATTGCGCGTCGGACCGCGAAACCATCAATTGACGAGCGGCGCTGCCTGTCGCCACTGCCGACCATTTATCCGCGACCAAGCCGCTCCGGTGGGCGGCGGGGCGGTGCTGCAGCAAACGAGCCGCCCTCACCCCGCGCGGCCTGTGAGGTAATCGATGGCCTGTCGATCGCGACGAGGTGTGGTCTGCAGTGGGATGTTGGCGCTCAACTGCAGTCACAGACGGCACGCCGTGCAGAGGGCGGAAGGATGGCACGGTGCCGCGGTCTGTCGTGTAGGATGGGTGTGTCCCAATCTTCATTTTATTGTTTCGACTGAATCTGGGATAAAAACAGACAGCAAACTGAAGTCATCTTGGCTGACTATTTCTTTCAACCTGAACTTTCAGCAGCGCACAATTAGCAGTTTTAATTATCCTTGAGAGCTACGGCTTCGCTCGGGAAGCACGAGAAAACCTTGACGTACAAAACTCGCGACGTCGCAACTTTCCCAGCGCTGCAAAGTTTCCCTTTTTCGTTTCCTGGCCCGTGCAGGCTCTCCGATCGACGTCAATCTGTCGTTAGACGATCGATCCCATCCGTCCAGAGAGACAGACGGACTGTGCTACACATCTCGGAGGGAGCTCGCAGAGGGAGCTCGGAGAGAGCGAGAGAGAGAGAGAGAGAGAGAGAGAGAGAGAGAGAGAGAGAGAGAGAGAGAGAGAGAGAGAGAGAGAGAGAGAGAGAGAGAGAGAGCGAGAGAGAGAGAGAGAGAGAGAGAGAGAGAGAGAGAGCACGCGCTCAGTCCCGTTCCTGCTCCAAAGGCGCTGCAGACTGCGGTTGGGGCACACACAGCGCGCGGCGTTCCTTGCAACCACCCCGCCGTGACTGACGGCATCGAGGTGTCTTCGTGACGTGTGAAGGTCCAACTGTGGCCATAACGGCCGCAGTGCTGATAGCTGAATGGATGGATAGATGGACAGATGGACAAACTGACCGACTGACTGACGAAATGGCGGACTGACGGATTGACGGACCGATGGAGCGGCCTGACAGACGGACATAAGCCGAATTACTCGCTCGGTCGGCGGGAGGCGAGTGGCTTCAGCGATATGAATGGTTGGATGGAGAACGGGCAGCTCTAGCCGCATGGCGTTACTGATTGAGGACTGAGAAGCCAGGGTATTCTCCCCTTTGCGCCATGATCGTATTGGCCTGAAAGAGGCCTGATGCTGCCGTGCTTTCTTCTAAATAAAGTGAACGAGTCTGATGCCTTATTCGCAAAACGAGGACTCCGTAAAGCTTCTGCTATCGGCATCGCAAAGCAAACGCACTTTCGATGATGTCCAAGCAAGCACTCAGTCTCCCCTATACTCTCCTGATCGGATGAGTGTCGGCTCGCTGTAAACAAGTGCTGCGGCCGCGTGGTGACACTGTCGACAATCGCACCCTGTCGGTCGCCGTGTAATCCTCGTGTTCGACGTGAGACCGTCTCCGGCCGCCAACGCCACGAGAAGCTGGACCGGAATGTGAACAACGCGATTAGCTTATCTACAGCCAGTTGAGCTCTCCGAAACCGACCCGGCCCGTGGCGAAAAACAAACAAGAAGATAAATCGTCATGGCAAACACTTCCACTGAATTAAGGCAGTGCGTAAGAGCTTGGCTGATAGTGGAGCAAATGCGAAACCAGTTTCGGTAAGTGGAAATAAAACATGATAGATAAAGGAAGGAGATGATGCCTGGTTTTTGTGCCTACATTGACGGAGTTTGCTGAGTTGTTTGTCCAACAGATCTGAATGGACTGCTTTGTATGGTCTTGCCAAACAGCATACGTTTCTTTATACCGGCTACTATCAACACACGCGAGATTGGAATTGAATAATTTAAGACATTCATACAGTGGTAGCGATGGCTGCCATGCGTCAATCGTCTTGTCTCGCAGCTTTTATAACTTCACAATGTATAGGGACATACTCAAAATTAATTGTAACGACCGGCGACCGCGCGGACTCGCATTGCAAATCTCGCTCAATCTGTGGGATATGTTAGCATAACTCGCTCTCCCTTCACTCCACCCTATATTTGTGGTGGCTCTCTGCAGCCGTCGACGAGTAGGTGTGTGTTTTCCCCTAGCCGTCCGCCTGTTTCGGGCGTTCACGCATGGCCAAACATCTGCGCGGCTCATACCGGGCCGCACACAGTATGTAAATAAACGCTTCGCCGATCGGAAAACAGTGGCGCCTATTTCGGGTGGAGTGCTCCCTCGGCCCTCCCTCTGCCTCTGCAGCATGTATAGAGTCAGGGGAGGGCGACAGGGGCATGGGATGGGAGGGATTGCCGAATGCAGTAAGATTTAGACGCGAATAGGTATGGGAAAGGATAAGCGATAGAAAACCCGATAATTATGAACCTGGTTCAAATGCACTAAACACTTTTTGTTACATAAGTTTGGTTCTGCTCCCGAGTACAGCAACCTACATACATTCTTTCACCCCGGCACTGCGCACTAGGCCATCCAACCTCTGTCGATCAGATCCTCCAACCACTGCGCCCGAGCAGCCACCCAGCTCCCGAGCAGCCGGAAACTCGCCCGTCCGTCACCCCCACCTCAGCGGTTTGGTGGGAAGGTGTTTGTTCCGGCGCCAATAAACGCCGTGCTCTGAGGACCGGACCGTGAGCGGGTGCGGTGGACGGTGACGGAGCTACCTGTCACACCTCTGTGCCATTAGCTCGGCGGGGGAGAGGGACCACCGCAGAGGGGAGCAGCGGTGGGAGCTGTCAGCGGTGACGGGCCGCCCCGCCCCGCTCAGCCAATCACCGGTGCCCGCTCATCCGTGCCGCGTCAGGTGTCGCCTCAGGTGTGGCCCGGCGCTGCTGTTATGGGGTCTGTCATGTAGACGTGGGTGAATGAAACTCATGCTTCTCTCACCCATGAAGTACGCATCTTTGACCCTCAGGTTGTGATACAATGACACATGAGTTTTATTAGAAAGCCGGAATGGATGGATGGCTGGCTGTGAGCCCGAGTAGGTACCCCGGTCACATCATCAGCCTTATGTAAAAAGTTCGAAGTCTTCGAATTATCGGGCGGTGACCGTCTATACGGCGCTTGAATATGACGAGCAACGGCTTTAGGTCAAATGAAGATCACAATATCATGTGTCCTTACAATGTTTAACCCGCGCCCTGCTGGGGGGGTGTTTGAACACCCCCCCTTGTGGTTTTTCGCGAATATCTCAAAAACGGCGGCGCGGAGCGCCGCCGTTTTTGGTACACCTTATCATACATCAATTCTACACATGTTGTGAAAATTTCAGACCAAGGTCATTCAAGGTCAGGTCACCAGGTCACTTGAAGTGACCTCACCTCATAAAAACTTCCAATGTCTGTCATAGCTACACCGAGTGATCGATCGCTTTGAAACTTTCAGCGATTGCTAAGAGCAATAGCATGTACAAAATGTATATCTCAGAATTTTGATATCGATGACCTAAGGTCAGGTCAATTTTGCGACCTCCCCATTATAAGTCAATGGGAGAAAATTGAAATGCGCCTCTTTTGGATGAAAGACATTATAAACACTCCCAAACACCGAATTACAAGTGGTTTAGACAAACTGAACTTGAAAATGGTGTCCGTGACCCTTGTTTATGCCCTGAGGTCATCTTAGGTCACGAATGGTATCTAACAGTTTTTCGCAAATAACTTTTGATAGAGGCATGCTAGAGCGATGAAAACGCCTTAGATGTGTTCAGCTCGACGATACGGATCGACTGATATGCAACATGACCCTTTCCGGTCAGGTCATGACCTTGACCTGAGGTCAAATTTTCAAGTTGACCTTTCAAGGTCAAGTTATAGTTCATTCGATGCGTCTTGACGAGAGGAACACGATGCCGGTAAAAGTAAGCTCGTACAAGGCTTGGGTCAAAAGTTATTGCAGAAAAACTGTTTTCAAAAATATCGGCTATTTTTGAAGTTTTTGCCCCCTGCAGGCAAAACCGTTGACGTTAGGTCAAATCTGAGAGAATTACTCAGAAAGGGCGTTAATAGGGCTATCGAATGCGCTTTTCCGCGGCGCTGTAGCTCTATTGGTTCCCGAGTTATGCGTTGGCTTCTTGGAAATTTTCGACATTCGACCTGGAAATCGGCGAAATTTTGCCTTCAATGACCTCTGGTGACCTGACCTTTGACCTGACCAAAAAATTGACTGAAATGATTTCGTCATTATTTTTTACGCTCTTTCGAACGCCGCCTTCCGCGTATCGCTACGTGGCCCAGGAGCCGAGTTACAAGGGGGGGTGTTCAAACACCCCCCCCCCCCAGCAGGGCGTGGAAATCCAGGACCCCCAGCAGGGCGCGGGTACGTTAGAACCGGTAAACGGTATGATGCTCGTACCTATATGTGATGTTCGTTTGGGCTTTCAACCAGCGTTTTGGCCCTTCTTCTTATATCCGCAAGTTCTTTTTGCGCTTTCCCGCACACCAAAAGCCTGTCTCAGCAGTCTTTGTCCTGCCGACTGGCAGTGGGCCCGCGTCCTAACGCAGTTAGCCGCGCTCGGGACGCCTTGCGCTGCATTAAATACGAATGCTGACGAGCGTGTGTCGCCTTTGAGGCCTCCGATGGCGGCAGCCAGCAATCAATGGCGCGATACAGCGGCGAGCCTCGCCCGCTGGGGTCTCCGTCTCTCCAATATTGCTGCCTGACGCTTGCAGTGTGGGCAGTCGGACTCAGCGAAGGGCCTGTCAGTAGCACGCGACTCTCCCCTCGCCGCCAGAGAGGCGCATTCAACGGCACCCATCGCGCGAACAGCCTCAAAGGAATTTTTCCATTCCAGTGGAGAGACGAATCGTGGATCAATGGAAAGGCTAATGCACCGAAATATCGTGTATTTCTGTAAAAAGACTTGATTATGGACTTTCCCTGTAACCCAAAGTTCACTGACATCGTATCCATATTAAAAATGTGCGTTGGCTTAATTATGCTTTTCCCTTCTTATCGCTACTTAGTACTTCTTACGATATTTTACCATCTCACCTACCAACGTCCCACCGATTAAAGTCCCATACCATTACGGGTCACCTTCCCATGACCGAACATCGCTCAAATCGTCACTGTCCCACCACTGGTAAACGTCCCATGGCCACATTCCCATCATATTACCGTCCCTCCAGCTACCCCTCTCTGACAGGTGCCTGATACCGCGCTGGAAGCGACACAACGCGATGCTCTGCGAGGAACAGAAAAGGGAGTCCCTTCTAACCATTCTGAGGACGAAAAGGGAGCCTGTCACTCACCGAGCTCGGATTGGGATTTCGGGAGGGAGGCCCCTCACTGACTGAGCTCTGATCATGAAGGGAGACCCTTCACAGACCGCGCTCGTCCCGTCGGTGCCATTGACGCCATGATTCCCAGGAAAAGAGGAAGCCCATCAAGGCATATCGCCGGCTTCCCGAATCCCCAACCGCGGCGAGCGACTCGGCATCAGCGTAGGCCGATTTGGTGAAAGCAATGGCATTGTCCGCACCGGCTCTTATTGCACCGTTCTCGAGAAGTCAGCTTTGGTATCCTCTTTGCTCACAGCAGCGAATCATTTGATTATCTTGCCATAAACATAAGTGATTATGGTTAAAAATTCCGTTGAGATTACAGCTAGTGAATCTGCTACCAAGAAAAGTGTTGCTTTCTTCCAGAGAGACGTCCGACGAAATATGAAGCATTTATACATATACTGTTATTGATTTATATTTACATGGGGAGAAGGCGCGCATTAGGTACATGTTTCCCTTATATATTCGTAGACTAATTGCTTTTTACCAAATGAAACTTCATAGTCGAGTAACACATATTGAATGTTCATCTCAACATCCTCGTGTATGTGCACGCATTTCAATTTACCTACTCGTACATCGCGCCACGGCACCAGTGTTCGCCACGGGCCGGGCCAGCCCAACGGGCCATGGGCCGGGCTGGGCTACGGGCTGGGCCGGGCCCCCAAATATCATTAGTTAATGGGCTATGGACGGGCCGGGCCAAGAGCTTTGTGCACTATGGGTTTTGCGATTAATGTCAATTTAAGAAAATTTGGAAACTGATGCAAACAAAACCCACTGGGAAAATACAAAAACTAAACCAAATTTAAGCAATGTGAAAGAAAACCTACTTGATATTGAATTTTGGGAATCTTGAGAATTATCCAATATCACATCATGTCACACATAGGAGGGTTTTCATAAAAATTCCGCAACCAAAAAGATCAGAGAATCTCTAGCATCATTAGTTTGTAATAAAAGTTAAAATGTAGTCATCGGAATAACTTACTTAGCACTTCAACTCCAAAAACTAAGAAGCCACTCAACAATGATGGGCTACAGGGCTACATTAAGTTTAACACTTATATATGGCGATAGTGAGACAATTCCAACACAGTCTTTTTTCCTTCACCGACGGCTTTTTAACGAACAGAACCTTAAAAGGATACTCACAAAACACACTGTAAGTAACAAGGAACTCTACAGAGTATTTCGCGATGAAAGCTTCTTTAAATGTCCATAATTTTGTCAAAATAAATCACAACAAAACCAGACCCTTCTCAACAAAATTTGCAATCATGGCGATCATGGCGGCGGCGGCGGCGCTATGTTTATGTGGCGGCATCTAGGTAGTATACACAACAGTATATCAAATAAATACGTTTTTAAAGGAAGTATGAAGGTGAAAAACAAAACTCAACAAATAAAAAATAAAACCTAAATCACGAAGTCTGAAAACTCGAACGAAAAACAAAACAAAAACTTGATCATATATGTTTTATTATACAATTGGTCAAAATCGCTACCTGCCGCAGCTGCGACAATCAAGAAGTGTTCGCTCATTTTCGATTGATGATGATGCGTAAAAGTCGCAAAATTACCCAATGACATTTCAAGCTTACCATGTTTTCTGCTTACGCTGCTAGCGATATCCATATCTTGAAAAGAGCCTAACATAAAATAGCGGAAAGTAGCAGATAGTTGTCCACAGAGATTCGGTTGACACGTGGACATGAATTGAAAATAGATAAGATCAGTTTTGCTGATAAATGATGGATTTTCTCTTTTTTTGGAAGACAGTGCTAAAGTTAGTGTCAGCTATTTTGTATGCTTTCTCAGGCTTTTGATATTGCAGCATCTATGGAGTGAATTTAAGAGCAAGGTCAATCCCAGACAGATTCATCAATTATTCCCATAAGTCAAGCTTTTTTTTCTGCTGGTAGGTAAGTGCTGGGAAGTATGTAGTATGTGGCAAATACTTCCTTCAAGTATGCATTAGAGTCACCAATTATGAATGATAATGTTCACACATCAGCTTGCAAGATAACTTTACTCATAGAATGTAGTTAATATAATCATGTAAACTTTTTATAGGTGTGTAATCATGACCTAATTGACTGAGGTGCTTGCTGTTACTGTTAAAATTTGTGCCATAGGTGCTTGAAATGATTATATTCATTGAAAAGAAGGGAGTCATGATTGCCATGTTAATATTCATGCAATTTGAATTGTTCTCAAAATAGTGTAATCAATCATGCTTATTATAGCAATAGACTAAGACAATAACTAGATTGCTATTTTTGACGGGCCGGGCCGGGCTGGGCTTGGAATATTTGCCAAGAGCGGGCTACGGGCTGGGCCGGGCTCTGAACCCATGGGCCCGGGCCGGGCTGGGCTGGGGATTTTGGGGCCCGTGGCGAACACTGCACGGCACCATTGAAAACGTGTCCGTGGACAATTTTTAGCAGTGCGTTATTTGGCTATTTCCAAAGCACTTTGTTTGCAGGTGGTTCAATCAAGTCACTCTCTGACTTTGTCTTTCCAAAGGCACAGGTTATTTACGTAAGTGAACTACCGCATCCAATCCTGTTGTTCCCCATACCCATGTAAATGGGTCGTTAAATATGGCGTCGCGTCGTTAGGCGCAGTGTGGCGGAACTATATGGCTCCCATTATACGTAATCACCTCATTTCCGTCTTGACATGCCACCAAACCCTTGGGAAGGTTTTACACTTTTGTTTTTCCTCAAAGAGCGTCCTTAAAAAGCAATCAACACAAATTGGGAGCGAGATTCATCCTTTGCTGGGTGATTGTCACTTGGGGGAAGCTAACCATAATGCCTAAATTGTATATTATATGATTTTTTGCTTATCAAAAGTAGGTAATTGCTAATCTACAACATGACATATTGGAGGGATTGCTTCGTTTGGTCGGAGTTTGTCCTGGTTATGGCTCTATACCTGGGCTCTACCTAACGTCACTCGTCTGTTGTTGCAGTTCTGCGAGACGAATTCCGGGTGTCACCCCAGGACGTCCAAGTGGCGCAGACAGAGACGGTTCGCCTGCAGTGCGCCCCTCCGAGGGGCCACCCGCCCCCTGACCTCAGCTGGAGGCGGAACGAGGAGCCGCTGGCGGTGACCGGGTCACGGCGGCTGCGGCTGGCCCCGGACGGTGACCTGGTGATCTCTGATGTGCGCCACCACGACGAGGGCTCGTATAGCTGCGTGGCAAGAAACGTGGCAGGAGAGAGACACAGCCGACCGGCCCGGCTCACCGTGCACGGTAAGATGCGCTCCGTCTTGTCGGCTTCTGGCCGTGGGACTGTGTGTGATGTGGGTGGTGGCAGGTGTGGTCAGCAGAGTGTAAGACGTTCTTATATTGTTTCCAGCTGGACTGTCTACTGTGCTTAGGCGCTTTGGTATTCACTGTAAGGAGGATCAGAGGTTATCACGTTTCCACATCTTAACCCTCGCCCATGTAGGGGGGGGGTTGGTGCAACCCCCCCCCCCCCTGAGGTTTTTCGGAAATAGTGCAAAAACGGCGGCGCGCAGCGCCGCCAAATTTTGGGTACCTTATGGGGCAAACCTTGCGCATCTTTTGATAAAAAAAATTTGACCGGGTCATGTCAGGTCACGGAGTTATGACGTCACAAAGGGAACAGCCTCCGGCCGGATTTTCACAAACTGAGTGCCAACGCCCGAGGTTTCCTGCCGATGGTACGGACATCGGTTGATGGATCGTGATGAAACTTCCCATGCATGTTGGGGCAAGTATTGGCTATCATATGGTATAAGAAACTTGACCGGGTCAGGTCAGGTCACGGAGCTATGACGTCACAAGAGGAACAGCGTCCGGTACTATTTTTGAAAAGCGCCCGAACCACTATTTTGCTAATTCTTGTCACCTCAATGGGAATATGCAGCAATATTAGCTTCTATAGGGAGCAAATGGACCTCCCAAATCCAAAAATACAATCAGATTTCAAAAATTTAAATTTTGATTTTTCGAATTTCTGCCGCCGACTGTGACCTTGCCGACTTCCGGCGCTCCCAACGCGCCATTTTTAGAGCTAGGGAAACGAAATACATACCAAACGATAGAGAATTGATCAAGGAACACGATAGTGAAGGTTTCAAGTCGATATCTCCCACCGTTTTGCCGCAATCGCCGCGGAAAGTTGAAAAAAGTCTATTTTTCCGAAAATTTGACCTTTGACCGGTCAAAAGTAGGTCAAATGTTGACCTAGGACCAAAAAATATACCACCAATCGCGAGATCTCGTTGAGAGCAATCCGTTGGTTTTTTCCGCTAAGCTCTACGACGCTCCGTTTTCAAACGCCAAGGGGGGGGGTCGCACCAACCCCCCCCCTGCATGGGCGAAGGTGGCAGATCGCCGTTTACGGGCGAGGGTTAACGGTGGTCGTCCGCAATAAGACAGGCAAAACATGAACTTGTGAAATTACGATCCGATTATTGTCCAAATTTCTCTGAAACAATATCAACCTGTCGTCTTTAGTTGGGGATGCGCGTGAGAGGGATACAGGTTCCCACCACGACTTTCGGTTACGTGATGAGTGCTCCCCGAGATAAATGATCTAATTGCCTTTCGTGGCCGGCTCTGCACGGCTGCGATTCGGCCGAAGTTTGCTTTGTAACAGTGCCCTGGCGTGACCAAAGTTCGCGTGTTGACCTGGGAGCAGTGGAGTAGATTTTCAGACAAAAGGTGGACCTCATATAAGCCCATTCTGCAGTCATTTCTTGATGCGTGTCGGTTTTATGCCTCCTCAGGAGGTAGTCAAAGTGGCTGGATTTGTTCCGGCCAAACTTTTAAAGGGGAAAGTGGCTCTCAGCTGGAATCGTGAGATGTGCTCGGAAGCTGAGCATGCCGGCAACGGCACGCAATACGCACTGTGTATGTAAACGTTTATTGGGTACACTTTTGTACGGATTCATACACTGTGTGTCATCAAAACTAAAGTAATGACAGGGCGGAAAGCAGACTCCTAAATTCTCCCTCACGCATGGATTCAAGTCTTCAGCCGAACAAGCGATATCAGTGCAGCTCCACACGGACTTTGCTGTATAATTTGATATTCTATGAAGGGCTTCGGCCATTGCCCCGAGCATCGTCTCACTGCTTCGTGATCTCTCCGTCTCCGTTCAGCGACAAACTCTCACGGTCCCTCCGACTCGTCTTCGCCGGGAGCGTTTCTAAGGCGTCACGTTTATGAATTCGTACGCGTCTGATGTCGACACGCTGGCGACCGGCGCCGCTGACGACTGACGTCGGCCCATCAGAGCGTCATCAAAGTGTCATCAGGCTGTCATCAGCGTCGCGCACATGTTACCGCCCCGCCGGGTAATTAAGTCGTTCCGAGCAGGCGCGCGCGGGCTGACTCGATCACTGAAGGCGGGATTACTTGCGACAGTCGGGCGGAGGGTGTCGAGAGACGTCCGCCCATCTAATGGTAGGAATCGGATCGGTCCGAGTTCAAAGTTTCCTCTCCTCTTCCTCTCGGAGAATCCAGTGCATCCGTGGACGGTATAACGCACTCTGCTGCTCGCCCGGCAACGCCAGTTATACGCACTAATGGTCTCCATTTGTCGCCTAGAAACACACTTGCGTCGATGGTAGCTCGTAGTCATTACGACACATCTCGCCGAAGTGGATTATTTTCGCAACTGCTTGACCTATGATCGCACTTTTTGTAACGTCGTCCAACGCCTGGTAACGATCAAAGCCTGTGCTTTTGAGACTGAGATGATTTGCCGCGCGTAGGATCTGTGCATTGGACCGACAGCAGCTGGCGTGGTGATTTTGTCAGGCGTTTGCACGTCAACGCAGGGAGCATAGACAGTTACTAGTAACGATGTTGTGTTCGGGCTGGCATTGATGGGTGGCGCGGCAGCTGGTCCCGATCCGTAACATCTCAGCACCCTGTTTGTCTCCGGGCGCTTTATTACCGTCGCCGATGCAACGGCCGTTTTCCTGAAGACCCCTCTGCATCTGCATTTTCGTTCCGGTAGATGCTCACTATCCACAAATGGGCTGTCCTTGCCTGAAGAAGGGGAGGGATGGGACCGGTGCACACCTCTGTCCATTACGATTCTCAATCCATCCCGCCAGAAACCGATCGAAACTGTCTTTTAGCGTTTTGGGCACCTCGCGTATTTTGTCGGGCCAACATATGGGAGCTCAAATCGATTTAGTGTTTTTGCAGTAGCGCGTTGAAGAAAGTAATGGCATCGAGCTTTGACGCAGGTCCTGGATGGTTTGCATGGGTGGAGGACCTAAAGCTTAGTCACAGTCAGCAACCATTCATGCGGAGAAAGTCCTGGAAGGCAAAGATAAGAATATGAAATACAAATGTACCTACCTTTGTTGAGTGGGTCCCTGTAATATATCACGGCCGTTTATAACACGGTTGCATGATTCACTCATATTTAAGACAGTCAAAACCAGGAATGAAATTGATAACGTCTCTCGTTTCCCATGCGATGCGCACCCGGCAGCCATGCTGTTGCCGGCTGCCTGTATATGTAGACGTCACAACACTGTCACGAAAGCTTGTTTAGTCTGACGCTACCATCAGCCCGTGATGACTCAAAGACGTTTTTATAGTGGCGGCCGGAACCCCATTTTACGGGCATTGGGTACAAATGCACATATGGCCGAAAACCCGTGGCCTCTTTCTCCGTCAGCGTCGCAATTCGCCGACAATCCATTGGCAAGCGACGATCCACTGCCGCCCGAGCACTGCCCTGCGTTCGTTGTGTCTCCAGAAGCTGGACAGCAATGTCGGTCGTGGATCCGGATGACCGAGCGCTGTCGCGTGATGGTGCGCTACGCTGGTGTCCGCCCGAGCCGAGGGCTCCGTCCAGGGTCGCGACTTTGACTGAGGCTCTGTTTTGAAACACGTGCATGATAAGAGGCTTCGCCATGTTAGCTGATGGGATTAGCAACGATCCGGGAGTGTTTTCACCGCTGGGTATTTTGTTCGTGAGTTCGGTGAGTCGGCTGGGATCAGCGTTCCTCGAATTCAAATTGAGGTTATTCGCATACAAGCCCCCGGTCGCGTGACTTTGCGGTCCGCTCGGCTGAGCAGTATCTGAAGTTGTATCAGCTTGTTTCACCCTGCTGGGTGTGTGTATGCTGCTCATGGCGTCACAGAGGCTTGTTTTATTATTCGACTGGCATTTCCCGAGGTCTCTCTACCGCTTACGGTCTCTCACCTTATCTACTAGTCGTTGCTTGTTCTTGGCGTAGCTACGCCCTACGCGTAGGTACAGTTATGCTGTTTCACTCACCGTATTTGTCTTGTCACTTGTTTATTGGTTCGAGGTCTCCGTTTGTTTCAGCCCTGAGACAGTGTTGCGTGTACCGTCCTTGGCTAAGCGAGGCGATCCTATGATACCTACGATGCTCCCTATGGATTATCGACGTGTAAAGACCTGAGCCATTTGGTCGCTGTAATGACCCTGCGAGGTTGACTACAGGTCAATTCCCTGTGCCAATCTGGGAGTGGTCGCCGGCAGTCTGGATCAATAGCACCTGGACAGGAGCCGCACAACAGGATTACCCCAGGGATAGCACATCAGGGCGGTACTTTGTTCGACCTATAGCTCGACCTGACCTGACCTCCACTCTCTGTTCTTCCACAGTGAAGCCGTTCTTCTTGCGGCCTCCCGAGGATATTACGAGCGTGGTGTCGCGGCGTGCCGAGCTAACGTGCCAGGTGGCGGGGGACCCCCAGCCGCAGATCGTGTGGCGGCGGATGGGCGCCGAGCTGCCTCTCGGTCGCGTCCTCGTCACTGAAGACAAGAGTCTGCGGATCGACGACGTGCGCCTGGAGGACGAGGGGGAGTACTTCTGCCGCGCGGAGAACGCCGTCGGCAGCGTCACGGGATCGGCGAGACTATCCGTCACAGGTGAGGAGATGACCAAAATATTTGAGGGGATGGAAGATGCGCATTCTATTTGAACCTTAATCGCAGCATCTGATGTCCAGCAATTAATTTTAAACGTTCGGTATGACCTGACTGTGACCTGACTTGACTTCCTTCAAATCTCACTGTGACCTTATTGTGAACTTTCTAAAACTTTATTGTGACTCCTGCTTGTAAGCTTCCTTTGACCTCACTGTGACCTCATTGACCTCGCCGTGACATCTACCTCACATATCTGACCTCATTCTGACCTCTCTCTGACCTCTCTGTGACCTCCCACAGCGCCACCGGTGATCACCAGCCGGGCAACGATCGCCGAGTCGGACATCTCTGAACCGGTGTCCCTCGACTGCCGCGCCGAGGGCCGGCCCACGCCGATCGTCTACTGGCTGAAGGAGGGCCGTCCCGAGCCGCTGGCGCCCGGCGGACGGCACACGCTCGGCACCAACGGCTCTCTGGTGCTGTCCCGACCGCGGCCCGGCGACCAGGGCTACTACGCGTGCGGCGCCGTCAGCACTGCCGGCTCCGACCTGCTGCAGCTCGAGCTGCTGCTGCGCTCTCAGCCGGCAGAGATGCTGACGGCTGAGGCGCAGCAGGCGCGCCAGATGCTGGAGCGGAGGCCGATGTCGCGGCTGACCGCTCGCGCTGAGTCGCCCACCGGTGCGCTGCTCGTGTGGAGTCCGGCGGCTGGATCTCCGCCGGTGGATGGATATTACGTGCGGTACCGACCGGTGACGGGCGGCCCGTTCGCCACCGTCACCGTACCCGAGCCAGCGGCCTCCAATCACCGTCTGATGGGGCTGCGCAGCCACACGGAGTACCAGGCGATCGTGTCACCGTACTACCGGGGAGTCGAGGGCCGCGCCGCGCCGCTCGCCACCTTCTCCACCCTCCAGGACGGTGAGTATTGATCGGCGCCGAGATGGCGTCGTGCGCGATCGGCCGGCCGACCGCTGGGACTGCTGTGTGTTTGGACCAGAAAACCCCCAGACAGTAAATCACGTTAGCTGAAACGAAAACTTTCCTGATGCCACGCCCGTTTCTCATCACTGATCTTTATACTTTGGAGCTTCTTATTTTCATCAGGTGGAAAGTTTAGTTTTATCAAACTTTGGAACAAGATTTCCTTCAGAACTAGGGTGTGCTGAAGATTAACGAGTTATGAGATATTAGATGGCGTGAAGTCCGAGCAATATGTTACCAGATTTGTGGATGATATGTAATGATCAACTGACGTGTGTGATGCATCGAAATTATGTTTGATGAGATATTTTGAGTAATGTTAGACATCAGTCACCTGGGAAGGTTACCTGCCCGGTTTGAATACGGTTACCTAATATGACGGCCGACTGTCGACGTTTGAGCCGATAGCACACCACAGAGCTGACTTCACAGTTCACCCTCTCCCTCTCTGGCAGTTCCGTCTGGACCACCGCTGCAGCTGCTGGCACGTGTAGAGAATGAAACGAGCGTGGTTCTCCGCTGGCGTCCGCCCGCCCCGGACCAAACCAACGGCATTCTCACTGGCTACCGAGTGTACTTCTTCTCCAACATCACCGGGCTGCGGCGAAACTACACCGTCAACAGCACGACGTCTCTGGTAGCCACCGAGCTGACAGAACTGGCGCCTCACACCCGATACTGGGTCCGAGTGGCAGCCCAGACGGCCCCGGGGGTCGGGCCTGCCTCCGAACCAGTGGAGTTTACCACAGGAGGACCGGTGCTGTCAAACGAAGCAGAGCAGCCACGTGTTGTCCACCAAGCGTGGTTCATCGCCCTGCTGGGTTTTCTGGTGTTCGTGGTGGTTTCGCTCCTGGTTGGTCTGGTGTACTTGAAGAGGCAGCAGGGTGTCAAAGAGGCGCTGGAAGCTACACCGGGAAAATCTGCCGGCCAGGAGGCGATGTGGGTGGATCGCGGCTGGCGGCCGGCAGACTCGGACAAGGACTCTAATCTCTCCGAACAGAAGCTGCTCGGTTACCAGCAGCACCACGCGGCGGCGGCGCTCTGCGCCGAGTACGCCGAGCTGGATCCGCTGCGCGACAGCGGCCCGTACGCGTCCACCTGCGTGATCCGTCAGAACCCGCTCAGTCGGCTGCGCCAGGCGCCGCCCGGCTACGCGCACTCGCTAAACCTTCCGCTGTCCACCGGCGAGGGAATCCCCGTGCGAGCCGGCTGCCCGACGATGCCGGCCGGCCGCAGCACCGCCAACGACTACTTCGTCGCTGTCGACGCCAAGGTGTCGAACCGGCCGAGTCTGGCCGACATTCTGCCGCCGCCGCCGACGCACCCGCCGCCGGCGTCCGAGCGGCTCCGCGCGCCGCCCTCGCGAGGCCAGTGCGGCGCACACTGCGTCGAGTGCTCGTGCAGCGATGGAGAATCTTCATACGATAATAATCCACGCGATCGCGGCTCGGCACCACGCACAGAGCCGTGTCAGCGGCGCCGCCGGCCGCCTGCCGCCTCTGACGCCGACATCTACTACGGCATCCCTGCCGGCGGGGGCACCTTCGCGGCCACGCTGGGCGCCGCGCCGAACGGTCGCCCTCTGCGACCACACGCCGGCCTGGCGCCCGTGGAGAAACTCGCCTAAGGCGGGTCAAGCTGTGTTTGTACCATATCGCTTGCCATTACTGTGGGCCGCTCGGAGGAGAGGGTGTCTCCGGGCTACAGTCTGTGTCGCTCCGCAATAACCCGTGCCCATCTCATCAGCGTCGCCCTGTCGTTTCATGGGCGTCTACGTGTATTTTGTTCTATCTGTGATATGTACAAAGCCCTGTACGGTAGCCCGTTCCAGTTTGAATAGAGAAACCATGCGTACCCGATGACTTTTGACGGGGGCGAAGGACTTGCCATGAACGTGAACTATGTAGAAACACCCGATAGTTCATGAATGCGGAAGCACGCTTGTGCGAGGAAGAACTTATAAGCTCTCAAACTACAGAAGGCCTTCCATCAATCCATCAGAATCCATTCAACACATTTGAGAGACCCGGATGATAAATGATACGTCTTTGTCACTTGTTCACTTTTTCAAAGCGACCTGATTGCTCCAAAACAAACATTGGTTCGTGCCTGAGGGCCTCGCGAGTATGACGCCTCGAAGACGATGCGTCATCGGGCAACGTTTTTGGACGGTATAGCTGAACACCTCACAGTACGGGAGCACGCGACGCTAAATGTGGAACAAATGTGGCAAGGGAACGAAAACAGTCTTTGTTACCTAGTAATGCACGATACCACTGCGCCATACAGGCACTAACGGTGAAGCGACAATTTACAAGGGATAAAGGCAACCGCGGAGCCGACGACGCAAGAGGCTGGCTACAGCTCTGCACAGAAACAGTCGCTAGCAAATCAGGCAGATGTGTTTGAATTCATACGACACCGGACATCCTTTCTAAATAATTCATGAGGTTAGTTACTGACCACGAAACGTTTACCTTTGAACTTGCGCAAAGATACGCATTACGCACGGTTTTTTATTTATCGCATCTTGCGCCTCAGAGTCAGAAAGATACAATAGTTCAGCAGTAAATGATGATGAGTAGCACCGTTTTTTTTAAAGTAAATTTTCCCTGGATAGGGAAGCTCGCTGAGCTTCACCACGCGGTTTGAGAGCCAATGGAATTGGACAAAGATCGTTTGACTTAATTTCTTATATGGCCTTGCATATAGGTATGGCCTTGCTTACTTTGACTCCGATTCTTTCATATAATGTCATGTCTTACATTGTATATTAATGAGACAGCAGTGGGGGAGAAACGGGGTCCCGTCACCCAAGAGGCCATGGACAGCCGAAAGGTTAATGCACCCTTCCATCCCAGGCGCGTGGTAACGCGCCAGGTCACCACCCTTTTCCCTTCGGAATTCGCCGCGTCCGCTGACTCCTCAGAGGCACCGTCGCTCGGCCGAATCACAACTGGTAACCGAGTACAACGCAAACGCCATGCCATTTACCGCCCCCTCTGGAGGCCGAACGCTGAGCGAGCTGCCTCTCGAGCGGGGTGCAGGGCGCGTGAGAACCACAAACACACGGTCGGTGACATGACGTGCGAGGCTTTTGTTGGTCTGATTCAGACCGTGACTGGACTCGGAGACACGCGAGAGGACGGAGGAATGGGGTTGTGTTCCTCGAACGACCTTTTCATGCACCAAAATAACCCGACTGTGTGGGGCCGTGGGCCATGTCGGACGTCGGTTTGGCGCATATAGCATTCAAAACATACCTACTTGGTCACCTGTAGACAAAACTTGTTAGGCAAATGGCGCCAGAGCCTTTAAGTCAGCACTTAGCACCTTTATGCTCCACATTGACGGAAAACCGAAGACGATCAAATTAAACGAAACTTATTTAGTATCGCTTCTGTGGGTTGTAGCATTATAGGTAAATCATGTTTTTGCATGTTTTGCAAAAACGAGTTTTGACACGTGTGCCTCTGAAGTGTGATCGGCATTTCAAAGTCCGCTAGAATTGTGTTCGAGCCCCATCTTCGAAGTCGGCACTCTTTACCCAATTCTGGTAAGTACTTGTGAACGACAGGCGCTAGCGTGTCATCCGACATCGCCTCATTTGAGCCCGCTTTGTGTCGTTAACGCGTGCCGACGGCTGCCCGGATGGCCGTCTCGCAACTCTCGAGTGGCCGACACATTCCGTCCATGTTTCGCAAGCCGCCGTCTCCGCTGTCCGCCGCGCTCCCCGCCGCCCGTCTTCCGCGGCTAATCGGACCGTGGCACTGTCACGACGACTGTAAGTAGCTCGGCAAACAGGGCTGCTGGCCAGCCAGCTGTAAATGGATCGTTTGACCCCGGCCGGCAGCCACCTGCGACCACCAGTCGGGTCAGTGAAGCGCAAACCCACTCGGCTGTTTGTCGCGCTCAGTGCCGATCTCAACCCCGGTGAGCGACCCGACAAAACAGCCGCCACAGGACGGGTGAGGGGCAGCGGGGTGGGGTCACAGTGGTCCGACCGACAATGTTGACCGGGACAACACATCCACATAGACAGGGGCGTACCATGTCTGCCGCGCCCGCACAGCTCTGTTTACAAACACTTACCGCCCTTTGACGCGACGTCAGCTGCCGTGCAGTACACTGTCTGCGTTCCTACGCGGTCTCCCCGTCTTACCTCAGAAGTCGGGTAAGGTCAGGGGACGGGCTTGGAAAATTTCCCTGGTCGCCCTTCTTATAATCATGGATAGCAGATAAATTAAAAAATGACAGTGGAGTGCCTTGTCCAATATAATCCGTATCCGATTCGAATCTATATCAATATGGTACACAATACACTGAACGATTATCCCTCGCCCGTAAACGGCGATCTGCCACCTTCGCCCATGCAGGGGGGGGGGGGGGTTGGTGCGACCCCCCCTTGGCGTTTGAAAACGGAGCGTCGTAGAGCTTAGCGGAAAAGACCAACGGATTGCTCTCGCCGAGATCTCGCGATTGGTGGTATATTTTTTGGTCCTAGGTCAACATTTGACCTACTTTTGACCGGTCAAAGGTCAAATTTTCGGAAAAATAGACTTTTTTCAACTTTCCGCGGCGATTGCGGCAAAACGGTGAGAGATATCGACTTGAAACCTTCACTATCGTGTTTCTTGATCAATTCTCTATCGTTTGGTATGCATTTCGTTTCCCTAGCTCTAAAAATGGCGCGTTGGGAGCGCCGGAAGTCGGCAAGGTCACAGTCGGCGGCAGAAATTCGAAAAATCAAAATTTAAATTTTTGAAATCTGATTGTATTTTTGGATTTGGAAGGTCCATTTGCTCCCTATAGAAGCTAATATTGCTGCATATTCCCATTGAGGTGACAAGAATTAGCAAAATAGTGGTTCGGGCGCTTTTCAAAAATAGTACCGGACGCTGTTCCTCTTGTGACGTCATAGCTCCGTGACCTGACCTGACCCGGTCAAGTTTCTTATACCATATGATAGCCAATACTTGCCCCAACATGCATGGGAAGTTTCATCACGATCCATCAACCGATGTCCGTACCACCGGCAGCAAACCTCGGGCGTTGGCACTCAGTTTGTGAAAATCCGGCCGGAGGCTGTTCCCTTTGTGACGTCATAACTCCGTGACCTGACATGACCCGGTCAAATTTTTTTATCAAAAGATGCGCAAGGTTTGCCCCATAAGGTACCCAAAATTTGGCGGCGCTGCGCGCCGCCGTTTTTGCACTATTTCCGAAAAACCTCAGGGGGGGGGGGTTGCACCAACCCCCCCCTACATGGGCGAGGGTTATAATTATTCCGCACTGATCCATATCACACTTCTCACCCATGCTTCGCCGCAACTAGGTCGTTCAATAAGTAAGGTAAAATCACATCGATGTATTTCAGTCCACCTATGCTGTAACGGCATAAAACTAACAGCAAATGTTCAGTAAACTTTCGTCTACAAAGTGGCTATAAGCATTTGTTGACAGGTCTTGTCAGCCAGCCTCCCCAGCCTTCGAAAGTCACACCTACATCCGATCACCGTTCGGGCGCACGCGCTTGTCCAGCAATTCACCCAGCGCTGAAAGCTTGCTCGAAAAATTTCTTATTGACCCTCGCATGTGTGCGGCGTTTGCCAGCTTCTAATGTGTAGGGGGGGGGGGGGTCGGTTGGACCCCCCCTTGCCGTTTGGCCCCTGATCGAGCTAGAGCTTCGCGGAAAAAACGAGCGTGTTGCCCGTGACGAGATGAAGCCGATGATACCCAATTTTAAGGTCCTAGGTCATTGGTTGACCTTCCAGGTCAGGTCAATGACCCAAAGTCGGGAAAATCGGGACCTGTTAGAAAGTCGTAAAGTGTGGCTGCTAAGAGGTTTTTCGGGGTGCTGATCACGAATATCGTGTTAGTTTTGATCACAGATGATGTCTTGAAGCATTTAGACCAGGTCGGGTCAGGTCAGGTCAGGTCAACCAGTAGGCGTCGTGACGGGTATTCGTAGTACGTGTCAACCGCCTCTGACAGCTTCGTAACATGATACGAAGTCACCAAAACTACTTCGTAAATGTTCAAATGGTTGCTAAATTCGAATTCAGCTCCAAAAACTAGCCTAGAAACATGTAAAACTCGAAAAAGTGACCCGAGGTCACCCGAGGTCACCAAAGGTCAATGACCTGACCTGACCTTCAGGTGACCTTGACACACACGTGAGTAACATCAAATCACATGTTTGAACGTTTGAAACCACGAAAAGCTTGCAAACACGCGGCTAGTGCGAGCCGACATACGCGAAATCGCGATTCCGGCCAAACATGGTCTCGGAAAAGAGGTCACAGGTCAAAGGTCATTTGGGTCAGGGTCATGAAATTTTCAGGGTAGGTGTAAAATTGATCAATGCGAGGGTACTGAAAGTTTCGTCGCGATCGGCCGCTTTTTACGCGAGTTATTCGCGAAAAACCATGGGGGGGGTCCATCCGACCCCCCCCCCCCTACACATGCGAGGGTTGATATTCTTACCCTTTTTATCTATTATTTTATTGATTGCTTTATCAATAAAAAGTTATTCCCAAGCAAAATGTCTCAGTGATCCGATAGCGATGGCAATAGCGTCATTCACTAGTTTTGAAGCAGATTTTGGTTCACCTGAAAAAAACGGGCATTTCTAGAAGGAAACGGACTGCATCGATGTTTTCATACAGGCCGTGTTCGGACAGTGATTCAAACACCTAAAAACGGTTGCGAACGTCGTGAAGAGAATTTTCCGTATAGTTTCAGCTGATGTTTTATTTTCCTTAACTTCTCGAGGTTCATGAACTATAGGACATTTTACCTTACTTATTGAACGACCGTAAATGCAATGCACGCACCAACGCTAGCCGTTACAT